CATTTAATAAAAGTTTTTGTTTTTTCAAACACATAGGTTTTAATTATTATGCCCAGCCCACAAGACACACATGAAAATAAAACAAAACACAAAGAGAGAAAAAGTCAAATGAAAAGGAAGAAAAGTTGGCTCTGAGCAGGTGATTCACTTCTGTTTTCTCTTTTTGGTTCTTGAACCTAAGGGAGGGGGGAAATCAAAGCAATGTCAATAGTCATTAATTTACAAAAGCAAAAGAACAGAAATATGAATATTCCTATGCAGAATTATTAATAATTTAAAATGTACATGACTGATGGTTTGTGGAAATGGAATCCGCACCAAAGGCATAGCTGCTAATACCCTGAAAATCTCAGGAAATTGTCTATTTTTTAATATATAACTAATACGCTAACCAAGTCTTCCTTCTAGTCTTAACCACGTAAGGCCTCTTCCACTGGTTAAAAAACAAAACAAAACAAAATATCTAGTTTACACTGGCACCAAAATATTTCCCCCTAAATTTTTATTGTAAAGTTTAAAACATTAACTCCCAACACATAAACTGCAGCAAGCAAGGACCCCCTGGGGGAGAGCAATGAGGTTATGCTTGGTATGAAGAGCAAGGAATTGTGCTTTAAATTGTGTTTAAATGAGCTGCTTCTTAAGGCCTAACACCTATGCTTTTTACGGGAGGAGAGCACCCAGCCCAAGCTAAAATGCCCAGCCCTTCCCACTAGGAATCAAGCAGATCCGGTACAAGCAGCCTCCCAAAAAGGCACCACTGCAGTCCCAGTTTGCACCCGTGACAGCTGCTAGTAGAGCATGCTGGGGATGGAGTAAACCCATCACCCTCCCCATGGACGGGCCTCCTACTCTCACCCCACTGCACCGCCAGCTCCCGTCACCTGGTCAGGTGGCCCAGTGCGTGCACCATGCCCCAAACTCCTCTCTGCGAGGGACAGAAGGCATTAGAGTGAGTGCAGCCTGGCTGGTCCCACTCAACAGAGGCACTGGACAAGAAGAGGGCGGCCCTTCCCAAAAAGGACAAAATGGTCTTTGAATCTGGGACAAAATTTCTATCACACACACGTAACAGTTCTACAGGTTTCCTGCTGATGGGCTTAGTTACTTAAAAATTAACATTTTTAAATTTTCCCAAGATAGAGTTTCGAATCAATTTCCATACAGTCCATTTATGGCATGCTTCAAACTTAGATGAGTATTTTTTTTTCTTGCCACTCATAATACATAGTATGAATATTATGGTTTAGTGAAGAATTTATTTTTCAATTTTGGTGATACAGCGCTCTATTAAAAATATACTAGGACAAGCCGGGCATGGTGCTGCACGCCTGTAATCCCAACACTGAGGAGGCTGAGGCAGGAGGATCGCTGTGAGTTTGAGACCAGCCTGGGCTACGTAGGGAGTTCCAGGTCAGTCTCAGCTACATAGTGAGACCCTGTCTCAAAAAAACCAAAAAAAAAAAAGAAAAAGAAATACACACACACACACACACACACACACACACAGATTTTTAGGGTTTTATTTCCAAAATGTTGGGGAAAACACTGCATTTGACTGTGAGATTGGCATCAGGGATATCACAGAATCAAAGTCGATAACCAATACTAAACCATCTCCTTTCAATGACTTACGGCCACAAGCACATTCCCAAGGACACCAAAGGAATGCTACAGCTGTGTGCAAGTGACACCATTCCCATAAATGGTTTTCAACATTTTACTCTTAAATTTTGCAGCATGTCCCCTTTAATCTAGATTTCAAATTTCCCATTGCAACTCAAAATGAATGCTGTCACCACCTGGAACTTACTATATAATCAGTCCTAAGGAGCCTTAGAGATTGTTCCATGTATCTGTTCAATATTTTCCCTATTGTTGCAGAAAAAAATTACTTCATCTCTTTGATTTAAAACACAACCATTTTCATAATGTCCTTGGATTCAATCCTAAGGGTAATGTAAAACATTTTATATCTGAAAAATAACATATACAAGTTTGGGCTGTTCCATTTTATAATGCAGAAGGTAAAAAACAATGGAAAATTTCAAGTTTGGGCTTCCATTTTATAATGCAGAAGGTAAAAAACAATGGAAAATTTCTGTCTAGAGTGCCCTTAAAAATACCTATTTTCTAACCGGTCATGCTTCCCCTGAAGAACCCTCAGGAACGCCCCGAACCTATGGTACTACAGAATTAATAACAGCAAAGGACAGAGGGGTCACCATTTTATGAACAGGAGGGACAAGTATACTAGCCATAAATATCATGGCTACATTAACTAATTTTTAGTACAATTCTGAAATATTGGCATGGCTTTGAAATGCCAGACTATGCATGGTTTTTTAAGGCTTATCATTTTGTATGAGGGGAAAAATTACTTGCGGCAAATAACCAAATTTTCTCAATTGGTAAAAATTATGCCTTGCATAAAAATAAAAGGATTAGAGGCCTCTGTTCTTCTTGAAAACCACCCTGTCCCCCCCTCTCTTTTTCTGAGAAAACCCACACAATACCCACGCAGAAAGCTTTCAGAATGTGTTCTTACACAATAGACCCCCAACTATTCAAAATGAGTTTAGGTGTATCAAGAAAATTATACACATTTTTAAAATGGTCTAAATAGATATTAAAGGAAAGTTGCTCCCATTTTGCTAGGCACAGCATTCTGAAAGATCACACAGTGAGAAAAATCTCTTACCATATTGTAAACCATAAACCGTGTTTGAAAATAAAATTGTTAATGAAGAAACTGACATTTCTAAAGCTGCAGTTAGAGGTAACTATTCTTGAAATACATTTATGACACAAAATCTAAAACTCTAAACCAGAAAACTGATTGAAGTATATTATATATTTCTTGAAAATTAAAAAATTCAAAGATAATAATATATACCTTCTCCTACAAGTTACTTTAAACTGATATATATATATATATATATATATATCTCCCCCTCTCCAGAAGCAGTAACATTTTACCATCTCAGGCAGTATTTATTTTTTATGAATATTTTGATAGTAAATTAAGGAGAAAATGAATTACAAACAGAAAATAAACATTTAAAGTAATTCAGTTTATATGGAAAATCTAATTATTCTTCATCATCTTAAAAAGTTGTATCAAAAATCTGAATTGTCCTTAAAATTATGAGCCCACTCTTTTCTACTCCATAAAATAACAAAAATATTAATATATTTTCCTATAGGAAAAGCCCTCAGTATAAGAAGCTTACGTTAAAATGTTAGGCACTATGAACATTTTTCATAGTTATACTAGAATTTAAAATCACTTATCTATCAAAACAAATATGTCTGGTGCTCATTAAGTCAGGTTCAGGAACACAAGACTCTAGGCAGCTGAGGTCCTGGGCTTGCCCACAGGGGCCATTCCGCTCCCCTCAAGGCGGGCGGGCACAGCTTCACTGGAACAGTGCAGGACTTTTGCTAAACTAAAACTGCCAGGTTTAAAATTCAAGAGATTTTGTAAAATGTAGGAATATTACTCTATCTGCTCTATAAATGCTCCTTAATTTTGTTCCCATTCTCTGTCACTGCTGCCGCAGCCTCTGGCTGAGACACACTTAGATGTATCGCTCCTTGGGACTCCTCACTTCCAAATGACAAAATGAACAAGACAACAAAACAGCAGCGAAAGGAAGATGTGTAAGATAAAAGAGAGGGACCACTCCATAACCTTTAGCCTCCCAGAGTTAAATCACCCACACCCTCTCCGGGTAACTTAAGGTTTCTGTGGGTGAATGCCGCTAACCTGCAGGATGTCCTAGCCATAATACATGATGAAGAAAATGTTAATAAAGCAGGATGAAGATGATCCTCTTAACACTACACACTCTGCTTTCCATACACATGCATTAGCACCACTATCAAAAAGAAGGTAAAATCCGGGAGTGGTGGTGCACGCCTGTAATCCCAGCACTCCGGAGGCTGAGCGGGAGGATCGCTGTGAGTTGGAGACCAGCCTGGGCTACATAGTTCCAGGTCAGTCTCAACAAACCAAAAAGAAGGTAAAATACATCACGGGCCTCACCCAATGGAGTATTTATGCTATCATGAAATTTTTACCAAAAGTAAGCCTTTTCATTAGAAATCAAGAAGTAGTTCAGGACCAAAAAAATAATAGGTCAACAAAAGGCAGACAGATAGGAGAGAAATATTTTTAAAAAACAGTATTATGGCCAGGGCTGGGGATTTAGCTCAGCAGCACAGTGCCTGCCTGGCAAGCATGAGGTCCTGAGTTCGATTACTAGTACCCGCCGCCAAAAAAAAGGTATCAATCCAGAAATCAATCTCTCTTAAGTAAAGCATCCCTCATGAAACCCAGAGCACACCATGCAGCTGTTTCTTCAACACTCTGGACCCAAGTCCAGCCTACTTTTGCCCTCTACAGATGTACCTTTGCTAATGTCATTTCCGGAACTACTCCTCTATTAGAAGTGCCTGTAGCACTGGCTTACAAGCCATCTAAGACATGACTTCAGTCCTTACTCTATATGTCAAGTGCTCGGGACAGTGACAGTGTGAAGCTTGTCTCCTAGAGTTGGCAGACTTTATGGGGGGCAAGCAGGCAACTCAGGCAAGTGGAAGTTTGTAGTTGTAATAAGCCCAGCTACTGGCTGCCTGCCTCCTGACCATCATTTGCATTCCCAGAACTGCAAGGATCAGTTCAAGGGAGTAGAAGTTGCTGGCCTGAGAGGTGAGTGCACTGGTCTCTACATTGACCTTCACAACTTAATCGTTCACTCTGTGTCTCGGGCCCCAAATCTGCTTCCCTAGTTTCGACTTCATGATGAGCTTGGAAAGTACACAACGTAAGTGTATAGAAGACACTAGGATATACTATACAAACATGAGATAAATTACAAACATGAGATCTACTTATATATTTTCTGAAAACAACCCAATAGTTAGCCCCTCATCCAGTGGGAGAAAATGCAATTTGTGCCTAGTACAGAAAAGAGAAGCAAAACTACTCAACTTACGTGTTTGTGGGACCTCCTCCACCTGAGGAGAGCGTTCCATATCTTCAACAGAGTCTGCACTTTCTTCCACTTCTCTCTTTCTCTTCTTAAACATAAAAATTTGAAAGACAGAGATGTAGTCTGGTAGTCAAATAAGTAAATTCCACAGAATACCATAAACACCACAGAATAGTACGCAATGGGTGTGTGAAGTACGGAAGACTACTCACAACGTCAGCAGCGGTCATCTAAGGGAGGGCATGGGAGCGAGACGACACTCAGCACGGTCACCTTCCTGGATGGCGTCCCTGAGAGCTATGCGTCCACTGTGAGCACTGACCAAAGCCCTTCACAACGGGATGATTTACAAACCTGCTCTCATCGAGCACCCAGGCCAATGATAACCTTGAGATGTATGGAGCAATAATGGCTAATTTCTCATAATTATCTCTTAATGTATCTTTCATTGTAAGTTTAAATGAGAGGGCCACGTCCTTTAACTGTAAATACATGGCCTTAAAGGGACAAAACTCCTATCATATCAAAAACTACTGGAGCTCTCCACCATCCTCTCAGGCCATTTCTTCTATTATTCTCCTAGCTGAGTGTTACTCGAGAGTTATTTTTTGTCTCCTTCCATTCTTCTAAACTTTCAGTTACCTTCTATTATGTCCATTACTACAACATCCTCTAAATGCCAGGCACGGTAGTGCACAACTGTGGTCTCAGCAATCTGGGAGGCTGAGACGGGAGAATCACAAGTTTAAGCTCAGCCTGAGCAATTTAGTGAGAACCAGTCTCAAAATAAAACTAAAACAAAACAAAACAAAATCTTCTAACTAGACCAGTCTGGTGTCAAGTTTTGAAATCACTTAAACATCTTTATATACAGGTACATAGATATAATTATAAAGGGACATTAGCAACAAATATAAAATTATCATATTTTTATATAACTTTATCCCATGTAATTTCAAATCTAAATGTGTAAAATCCAAGTTTTAATTCAAAGTTTCTCTAGGTTACCTAAAATAAGTTTGTACCATTTAAAAAAACCACCCGATAGGCCCCCAATCAGACTCATAATGCAACCAAAACACTCATTTATATTTTCTAACAATTAATACTTCATCTGAGAATGTTCCTTGCTGCAGGCCCTTTTGTGTACAGCTAGGGAAGAAGATAACCTGCTGACAGCATGTCATTCTTTCTCCTAAATGGCACCTGCTCCACAGAGAGCTACAAGTGAACGCTGAACCCTCTCCGAAGCCCCGAATGGTCAGAATCGTTGCTACCAGTGTATCGCACTTAATCCCACAGTCTGAAAACATGCTTAAGGCGGCTGTGGGAAGATCAGAACTCAGAGACACCCACCACGTTCCCAGAGAAAACGCTTCACGTTAATCAAAACAACAACCTGACTCAACTTGAAGAAACCAAAAGGCATTCATTTGGCAGATTTGTATTTGGGGTATTGCTTCTCAAACAAAGCTCAAGAGTGGCCATGACTTCATATAACTGACGAGAGAGAAGGGGAGAGTGCCTTACATCTTTCTTTTCCAAAGTGTTGCTTCATGATTACCATCTAAACCCTGCTGGGCTGAACAGATTGGTTCGATAATTACATACAATAACTGCAGTGGGCAGGTAACCCTCAGCTGGCACAGGGCAGCTCCCCTGTGAGAACTTCCATATGCAAACTGCACTGATGGAGTGCATTAGGTATATCTTTCCTGCCGGTGCGCAGGCCTGATTAACGCCGGCCAAGACTCCAAGGTTAGCATGTCAGCAGATTTGTGATGCATTAGGCAGGAATAAACACAGACACTTTTGTTCGTTCAGACCAAAATTAAGGAGGAATATCTCGGTTCTATATTGCTTTCCATACAGGAGAAAACACATTTTCTAGTTTTTGGAGGGCAGATTTTTTAATTTTTTATTTTTTTTTTAATAAGAGGAGCTATCCAATATTTTCTACCCAAGACTCGATACACTCATCATGCTTTCAAGCTTATTTAATAAAAAGGAGCGTTCTTAATCTCCACATGGGTAAATTACACAGCAATGAAAATAAGACAGCATTCAACCAACAAAAGGAATGGACATCTGTGCCTTAAGTGGCATACTCAGGGAAAGCACTAAACTCCACTAACCCTCTTTCACCAGGGTAGCTGCTGCCCAACCCTCTGATGAGGAAGGTGGTGTGGCTTGGAAGGGCCAATGCTCTACAGACCACCAGTTAAATACAAAACTAACCCTTCAGTTTAACAGAATCTAAGTATATTACTCATTTAAGGCAAAGAGTAAACCCCTAAACAATGTGTTGCCAGCTCCCTTCTTCTGAGGACCTCCAAATGTTACATTTCTGTTATTTGTCACATCCTCAGGCTTCAGATAGTGCCCATGTTGGCTCCCTTTAAACAAAAGAAAAGGCTTTACCAAGAGACTAGATCCCTCTGATTCTGTAAAGTCCTACCTCAGGTCTCACAGGACTCTCATTTATTTGCATTTATAAATGAAACCAAAACATCGTATGACACAGGCATAACTTGTAAAACAAACAGACAACAGTGTTTTCTTTTAATTCAGCACAGGTAAAATATCTTTAAAAAATTATCTCAAAGGACATTAGTGTATATATTACACATTATATTTTTGAAGTGTTCAGATATGCTAGGTTAAAATTTAGTTAATTAGCAGCTTCTCGCTTCCAATTTAAAAACAGAGACAAATTGGCCAGATGCATTTGGACTGATAATTTCCTAATAGTCTAAACACCGACTGGAGACAGCGTGGCTTCAATGGAAAAGAGAATTAAAATCTTCAGATGCAAAACCACCAACCAAGTCGGTTTCCCAAGTAAACCACTGAGCGATCACCTTCAGATGCTTCTGACAGCCTCTAAGAACAGCCGACTGGATGAGACCGCGGCAGTGTTGCTGGGGCTCCCTCCTTCCTCCTCTCACGATATTCATACAAGTTGATCTTAAAAACTGAGAATACACAACCTAAGATTTTTCAACGTTTAGCCTGTGTCAAAGAACTGTGAATACAAATACGTTCTGCCCGTATCACTTAACCTTATTTGAGGCCACCAGAAGTTACCATGTAAATGTTTACAGTTTACAAATTAGTATTAATAACTAAAAATTGGATACTAATCACTCAAAAGTAACTAAGAACAAAAGACAGGGAACACCCCTCAGGAAGAGGAAGCAAACACATACGCTCTGCCACAGCATCTACAAATGAGAGAAGAAAACCAAAGAGAACCTGCCCAGGGGTCCTCGCGCTGAGCCCCTTATTCCCACGAAAACTTCCTTTCTACAGAACCACACTGCCCACCCACGTGGCCTATTAATATGGAGCAGCAGTTTCTGGTAGTTGTGTTTTTACTTTGATGCATTCTTCTGAAAGAGGCACAGTACACAGATTGTGTACGTCAGGACGCCATCTTCATGCCTCTCTTTACTTCCCTCCTTTTGTATAGGAGGTTCTTCTAGGGCACAAACAGGTCTCTTCATCTCCCTAACCCTTGCTGAGCACAAAGGGGAGTTTTTCACATAAATACCTGGATCCGCACCCTGAGAGTAACTACTTAACTCTTGTTACAGTAAGAAAGAAACCACTGTTTTGAGGGATCAGTCCCTCAAAAACGAATATTTAAAAGGACCTTAAATAAATAGAAATATGTTCTAAGAAAACACAGGAAAAGGTCAGCTATAATTTGAGAAAAAAAGTGAAAAGACGGGGAGGGGACAGGAAGGGAACACATGACTCAGAAAAAGGAGCAGGTGAGTATGAAGAACAAACACGCTCTGCTCTCCCGCACTGCAGTGCTGTGCTATGTGGAGCGGTCAGCGAGGAGGACAGCGGAGGAGAACAGTGAATGATCCCCTGGCAGCACTGAGCTCCTCACCACACCTGAACCCATGAGCACAGCAGCATGCTGAGCACCGCAACAGGCTCCACCCACTAGGGTGGAGGAAGACATCAAACACACACACGTTCGATTTCTACAACTGCTCATCTTCCTGGAAGCCACGGAGAAAACCTCTTAGTGTCCACAGATGAGCATGCTCACGTACGCACTGCAGCCGTATGCCCACAGAATGTCACTCTATAAAATAGCAATCTACACACAAACGTAGCCCACACAGGAAGTCAGCCCTTGGTTTTGTCTGCTTTATTTGCTGTTGTTCATTTGTTTAAAGTCGGATCTTTCTCCTGTGGACACTTTTAGGTTTCTATTCTGGACATCAGAAGAGGAAATACAACCTAAGTAACTTTGCTATTAACAGTTCTGGGGAAAAGAGTTTAGCACAAGGAAATGATTAAATACATGGCTTACACTGGGTGAGGTGGAGAATGCCTGTAAACCCAGCAGTGGGGAGGCTGAGGCAGGAGGACTGTGAGTTCAAGGCCAGGCTGAACTACATAGTGAGACCCTGTCTCAACCACCCTCCCAAATTAATTAAATGCATGGAGTACATAGAGTTTGGGATATTAATGTTCTTTACCAATTCAAGAGATCCCACCCTTACAATACCATGAAGAATTAAGAATTTACTGAAATTATCTGAAAATGACATTAAAAATCACGGCTCATCCATGCAAGTGTGCATTTGTCAGGTCTGTCAGAATAAACGTGAACACACGTTGGCCACCTGCCACCTCCACGGACAAGACGCTGTGTAGCGGAAGCCAGGTTTTCACACCCCGCTGGCCTTCCCACATGTGCATCACTGCTGTGGGAGGGCCCCGCACAAGGAGTGGAGGAACCGAGGAACAGGACCTACAGGAGGGCTGCGTGCACGCAAAAACTCGCTCTCAGCAAACCTTCACAGCATATGAGCAATGCAGCTAACCTCCCACACACCTGTGGAAACAGTGGCCCAGCGACAGGCAGCAGAAGGATCAGGTCTGCAGTGTGAACACACGTGCAGTAAGAAGCTGAACGGAGTTCCAGAGATTGGAGGGTCTAGAAGGTAATACACCAGGGTCTTCTCCAGGCGGCGGACTCAGTATGGTATCTCTTCATTCAGGTTTTACTCAGGCTTCCATTATTTTGCACCATTAATGTCAAAAACTTTAGCAAAATTAAGG